AACTGGGCCTACAATATGTGCATTTTATACAGCAAACCTACCCTCTGGCTTCAAGCTGTGTGTGACCTCGTTTCTCCTTTTAATTTTATAACTAGGGTGGAAAGCTAGCGGTGTAGTATGTCATGGTCAATATATCAACTGCAAAGTAAGTCCAATGTTGCAGAAAGACTCCAAGAGTCATTTAGTACTTTTCCCCTGACACCAGAGATAACGTTGGAGAAATCTTGGGGTCTGGAGTACCTGATGTCAAAGCCCCATGCCTCTGGTTCTCTGACTGGGTTTGGGAGTAAATTTTATGCACAGTGACAAAGGGAGTTTCTTTCTGGTGGTGGAGGGCGTTTTAGGAGTGGACGAGGAAGGTGGGGGTGCCGCTTCTACTCGCCATTATTTCATTTTAACAGTTGTTAGACACGTCATCCTACTACTTCTGAAATGGGAAACCTACAGATCCCCAGGCTTGGTTGGGCTTAAATATCCCTACAGTATCACTATTACCCCTATATATATATATATATATATATATATTTTTTTTTTTTTTTGGATAATTTGTGAAACTACAGTTGAACTCACATTTTTGCTTGCCGCTGTTATCCTACTAGCAATATAACAACTACCCACTAGGGCTTAGGACTTGAGATTGCCCACCCTTCCTGCCCCATGACAAGCAGACCCTCAACCCCATAAACATGAAAAGTGATAACTTCATTCGTAGTTTTCTCTTTGCCGTCAAGTTCATCCCCACGAGGCCCCTTCTCAGCCATCCTACCCCCTCAAACATCCAAGGAACAGAAGTACTTTTTAAAAGTCGGCTCAGCAAAAAACAGGAATTTAAAAGCTTCCTTCCAACAGCAGTGGCGTTTATCTGAGGACTTAGAGTGGTATTCCATTTTTCCTAGAGGTAGGTGAGAGGCCAGAGGGTAATTTCCAGAAAGTGCTGGTGGCTGGGGAGGATGCTCAGAGGTCCTAGGTTTATGGCCTTTTCCTGGCTCAGTCTTTTTATACCTTTCTTAGAAATGGTTATGATTCCTGCTTCATCTCTCCTGGGGGGGCAGGAAGGGTGAATGAAGATCGTGGGAGTTAGGGAGGGGATGACCTCAAGACCCAAAGTGGTGAGCATTCATTCCAAAGGAAAAGGGAGTGGGCCGGAGTGTCCAGGGCTTCCAAGAGCAGAAATCTGCTAGACCAGCACTGGCGGCTGTGGGTGGGTGCCGTGGAATCTGCATGGTCGCATTCATTTTGCCTGATTAGTGGCAAACCAGGCTAAGACAACCGCTGAGCTTCAGAACAGATGGTGCCTGGGTGACAGGATGTCCCTTGTCTTATTTATTCAAGAACAAATCATGCCATTGAAAACACTAAAGTCAGACTGGGGGTGTAAATCAGAGGTAAAGCTCTTGTCCAGCTAGCGCTGGCTTCCATTCCCGGTACTGGGGTGGGTGTGCAGTGAGAACACTGAAGTCAACACAGGATCCTAATTGGGTCTCTCCATCTTTGGGAAGGAGGACAATTGCTTTTTTTCAAACTGTGGTTGTGACCCAATAATGTTGGGACCTAATTTAACTATTGGATCAGTATTTTTAGTGGAATATCATAGAAAGATCAAAAGTGTGTCTCATACTGTTTTATGAATTTTTCTCGTTTCAACTGTGTATGTATAAGGATATGTATGTGGCTGGGTTAGAATGGAACATGTAATTCTTTTTGTGAGCAAACTCCAAAAAATAGAAAAAAATTACTGCTCAAGGCAACTTTAAAAGAAAGATATGTAATTACTATAGTGGGCACACACGGCCCAGGTATTTTTGTACAGGTGTGCATGTGTGTGTATAATCTAATTAGCCATGTTGTGCTAGACCATGTTGTGTCTCCAAGAACAAGAGATCATGAGATTTGGAGGTTCAAATAAGGAAACATCCTTACTTAACGATAATTTTGAAAAGCTGGTGGGCTTTTAGGATGAAGATATGCAGCTTTTTTGACATTGCTCTAAAGTTGTTCTTTTTTTTTTTCAGTTTACCATATCTTTGCCTAAGCAGAAGCCTGTTAGCCCAGCGATAGTACCACAATTTCACAAGGTTTATATTACGAAGCAAAAGATTTAACTGAGTTATTAGTGGAGCCTGGCTCCTGAGGGGACACATTTCCTGAATATCTTTCCCTAGCAAAAGCCTTCTGTTTCTAAACAAAACAAAACAAAAAATGCTTCTGCTACAGCTTTTCCTGTCAGCCATTAAAGTCTCATATCTGGGAACAAGATAAGTAGAAAACAGTGTCCACATCCTAGGCTTGCCAAGAGAAGTCTTTTGATAGAAAAGAAACCATGACGTTCAGACACTCAGAGACGTAATCACCAGTTAATGGAACATTTATTGTTACTTGTAAGGCATAACTGTAATACCGAAAAAAGAGAGAGAGACAGAGAGTGATGTGAAATGACAGGTGGTGTCCTCATTGACCTGCTCTGCAGCCGTGGGCCTGGCTGTTTTAGGCAGCACACTCTGCCAGGCTAAGGACCTGGGCTCTGTTGCCTCCAGCACAAAGTTAGGGCCTCCTCTGCAGTGGCAGCTGGTACACCCATCTGGTTTTTGTATATCCACCCTGTTGGCCACTGGAGGAGATGAGAGCCACCTCCACCCACACCTCACTGCCAACCTGCTGAAGCCTCTGTGGTCCTGACAGTAGAGTGTCAGACCCTTTGTGACAGTCATTCTGAACATGGATGCATGGGAGAGGCACAGGATGGGCAGATGGCGGCAAGAATCACTGAAGGAATAGAGGGCACAATGGGAATGTTCGCCCGCTCAAAACCACACAGGGAACTGCTCACCACTCCCTTTTGCCAAGAGCTCATGGGCTCTCTTCCTAATTTGCAAGCAGTCTCCCTGAAGCAGATGCAGGTCTACAGCTAAAAATGTTAGATTCACTTTGCTATGTTGTTTGTCACTCTGTTAGGGATTTGTCTTATGGGAGGAGCCAATTCTTCCAAATCCTGGGTTTCTGGTACTTGCTATTTACTCAGCAGTAACATGCAAAGTCTATGTTTTTCACTTGATTGAAAGAAATGAATCCACAGCATCTTTCATCATAAATATAATGCCCTGGGAGAGGATACAGCAGCAAACCAGACAGACAAAGTCCTCAGGGACCCCAGTTCCCAGTACAGTACCTGGCACACAGGCACACGGTCTCCATTGAGCAAATATGCAAATGATGCCTGGGCTGATTGTTAAGTCACAATCTACTTCAATGCTTTGGGTCTCTGGAATCACCAACTTCCATCTCGTCTGTTAGCAACGGTATTTCGTTGTTCTTGGCCAGTGTTATACTTGAATTTGATTCACACAATAAAAATTATGGACCATCATAAATATCTTAGATTTCCTCTCTGGATGCCTTTTACTGGCCAAATCTTCATACAAAAGAGATGTTAAGCCACAATGCATTATCCCCAACTTGCCTACAAAGATTGACTAAAATAAAATAGAATCATCCAAGTTATAAAAACAAAAAGTTATGAAATCATTTTTCTGTACAAAAGCAGATCACTATTATTAACCATAATGCCAACTTAGTTCCTCAGATGTGCTCTCACATTGAACTTTCAAATTGTCGTTCTTCTTTCATCCTAAGTCTGACAGTTCAATGAGTGAGAAATTATGCTTCAGTTAAAAATTACTGCAATTCGTTGTAAAACGTGAGCTAACACTCTCATCCGTTTTTATATACAACGATCATCTCATTGGTTAAGAGTCCCCATTTTCAAGAGAAAATGCGGGACAGCACAGTGGAAGACAAAGAAAAATCTCTTGAGTAAACATGGTGAAGTGTTAGTTAACTGAGTGCCTTATGTATCGTATCCTATTATTACCATTCACAAAGGCTGAATGCTAATCAGTTTAACTGCCTTCAAGCTATATATTTCAAAATGTGATTAAAACATACAGTCTCACAGTAAATTTAAATGGCTTATTAAAGGCCTCAGCATCGGTATCATATGTCAGAGATGAATGGTGTTACTAATATGCTAGCCACTTGGGCCAAGTTCACTTTAAGCAGGAAGCATATTTATACAAGGAAGGGTAACAGAAATGGTCTCTTGCGGGAAGCTGTGTGTGGGGGTTTAACACTTTTTTGTATGCTTTTGTATATCTTCTAAATGGGCATTTTGCCAGCATTGGGTCTTTAAAATCCTTCCTTGATACAGGCCTAACTATTGTCAATGCTGACTGAATGTTCAGGGAAGGGGGGGGGGGGTGCATGTTTCGAGGTGAGGCAGAGGTGGGTGAGGGTCAGGGCTTCGAGCCATCTTTATTTGAATGACATTTTTTTTCTGATCTGCTCCTTCAAGTGCACTGGGGAAAGGCAGCAGCCTCTGCAGGACCTGGGAGCCCCTTGGCAATGTAGAAGCTCCCAGCCCCACCCAACCAGAAGCTACTTCAAAGCAGATCCCAGTTGATCCCTAAGCACGTCAGAGTGGGGAAGCGCTGCACGCGGACTCCAAAGCCCTGCTTACTGGTGGCCAAGCACAAGTCATGGTGTCACTTTCTCTTTCTTCCTGTCTTCTAAAATCGTCCTTCTCAGAGTGCAACATCCCCTTAGCCAGGGACACCCTTCCTTTCTCGTCACTCCCAACACACTGCCAAGACCCAAATGAACTTCCCAGCATTGATGTCCTTGCTTTTATGAAGAAGCCACTTCCCATGCTCCTCCTGACCTCAGAGGCTTCTTGGGCACGGTATTGATTCCTAAGGCTATGGGTTTGTTCTTTCCCGTGGCTGAGCCTCCCCTCCTTCATTTATCCTGCATTGAAATTCCATCCTTCTCTGATGTCCACCCAAGTGCACCCCCTCTTTCCAATTTAAATCCCTTCTGTGCTCAAGGGAGGACTTCTCTGTCCCTGCTTCTATTACGGAACATGGCCCTCCTCTAAACCTCACGATCTGCTTCTCTGCTAATATTTGTGAGCTACCGAAAGGAAAAGAGGCAGGTTGGGCCAGATGTTTGGGGGACCGGCAGCTGGGGTTTACTCAGCAGCAGGAAAATGCTATGCAGTCACCTACGGCCACTTGGCAAACCCCGGAACACACTTCATTTGGCCCCACCTTGCACTGAGAGGCTCAGCCTACTGCAGGTGCCCTGCGGCAACTGAACCTCCAAACCTGGACTCAGACTGGCCTGCCAGCCACCCCTGGAAGCAATTTGGTCCCTCTGTTCCAAACTGAGCTAGGGTAAAGGGCTCTTAAAAAAAAGGGAACTGGCATTTAGAAGCGCATTGCTTACAAATTCAGGCTCCGTGGGCTGGGGGTTAGCGCAGCCAATGATCAAGGGGACATTTGGGGGTCAATCAGGTGAGGACCCCTCAAGGCTCTTCTGGAGTGGTCAGCACCCAGAACAGATTTCTCTAATCAGAGGAGACAGGCAGTGGGAGAAACAAGATCGCTTTCTGGCCATAGTGAGTCCGAGGACCACGTTTGCAGCTTCCGTTCTTCTTGAGGCCAACAAACCAATTCTTCTCTGCATGCTTCTTGGATGTGTACGTGTTGTAATGGTTTTCCTCCAGCCTTTCCAGGAATAAGCATTCCTCATTTGGGGTCTGCTACAAAGATAAAACCAACATAGGGTAGAACTGTTAGCGAGTGCTTTTAAAGGATCCCTCCTTTCACTAGCAGCTTAATCTTGGGACAGTAACTGAAATGCTCAGTGCCTCAGGATCTTCTTCAGAATTGGAATAAAGAGGGAGCCCATCTCAGAAGGTGCTCACGAGGACTTTGAAGGGTACCCAACAAGTGATGGGTCTTCAATATGCATCCACTATTACTCTAAGCTCCCCTCCTGCCTGCTGTTCTCGGGACCTAGGGTCTCTGCTGGGGAGACCTGCTAGACCAAGCACCTTGAGGGCAGGCTGGGACTTTTGTCTCTGTGGAGGCCGACAGACGCGATCGTAGAAGAACGTGAAGCCAGACAGTGAGGCAGTGGTGTTTTTCAAGTTTGGACTTGAAATAAATGAAAACCTACTAATATTTCTTTCTATCCTGGTGATTGTCACTAACAATATCTGAGGATTTCACTTCAGTATTATTACAGATGTGAATGCTTGTACAAAATTTGCCCTAACATATTAAAACTTAAACTGGGACTTAAATTTTTTTTAAGTGAAAATAACTATTTTTGCTACCTATAAAAAAGAATAAAATGTTTTTTTTAAAAAACCTTTTTTTATGCTTTTGATTAAAATTTAACAAAGGTAAAGAATTTGTAAGAGATCTTTTTTAACAAACAAAAGTTTGTTAAAACATCCTAGTCAAAATATGGAAGAAAAAAATTGCAACTTCTCTCAACAAACTAAATTTTGGAAATGCCTCATCTATATTTTGTTACACAATAACATTTCTGGTTGTTTTAAAATTTGAGTTGAAAAACTCAAATGATTTTTAAATTTTTATTTATTTTATTTTATTTATTGTTTATTTGTTCTGATTAGTCATACATGACAGCAGAATGCAATGCGGAGCCCAACTTTTCATTTCTCTGGTTGTACCCACAACTTTATTTTAAAAAGAAAAAACAACAAAGTACCCAAAGCCCACCACTAGATATGTTTTTTTTGTTTGCTCTTTTGTGTGTTCACTCATTTTATTTTTGTACAGTCCCGGGGATGGAACCGCAGGCATTACTCAGGCTAAGCAAGTGCTCTACAACTGAGCTACACTTCCAGCCCAAGGCAGCTGTTAACAGCTGATGAACACCCTCCCCTACATCTCTTTATATACAATAGATAAGACTCTGTGAATATAGATTTATGATATTATCATAAATGACATGTTTTATCTGCTGTTCTAATATTGGACAATAAAACTACGAAAACACATTCAGTATCACTAGCAAGAAAAATGCAAGGTAAAAAATGATCATCTGTTGGCTATCCTATCTGTAAAGACCAAAGAGATTTACATATCAGTATTGGTGAGAGTGTGGAAAACCTGCACTTTCATTCACTGTTGGTGAGATGAGAGCAATTTGGCGGTATCAGAATTTAAGATAGCATTATCCTTGACTCAGAAATTCCCTTCTAGGAATTTACCCTTAGAAGATAGTTGAACGAGTATAAGATCATATTTTCAAGAATGTTCTTTGAAGCATTGGATGTAATAGCAACAAACTGAAAGCAATCTTTGTACCTATGGCAAGGTGTGAGTGGGCAGATACATCACTAGAGTGGGGTCCGGTGCAGACGTAAGTGTATTAAGCTTAAGTAGCTACCACAACATTATTAAAAAGAGTACCGTACTTAAAAAGTATCCACCAACTGATATTTTACTTATAATTTATCTGTTAAGAGAGTGGGGGAAGCCAGCCTTTGAACCTCTATTTGTCCAGATTTTAGAACACATTTACTCTATTGGGATATAAAGCAGGGATAGCAAAGCCCTTCTGCTGGATGCTCTCTTTCCAATGACATCACACATCTGACTTGGCACCTTTTTCAAGCTGCATGGTGTATAAAGTCTTTCTGTGCCCATGTGGTTGGTGATTCCCTTTCTCGTGGTTTCCAGTCGTCTTGCTCATTGTTCTCTATTTGTGGACTTGGTTGTTACATTAGACTGTAAGCCCCACTGAGGGAAGATAAGATCTCGTTGACCTTGTGTCTATCCCCAGTCTTGCAGATGGTAGGTGTTCACCAGCTAGGTAGCAAATTAATTTGGTATCTTGGTTTGTTTTTGCTGGAAATTAAACCCAGGGTATGGTAGGCACATGCTCTACTGCTGAGCTACAGCCTCAGCCCGAAAGTTAGCTTTCATTAGTAAAAAGCTATGCAACAGGAAGCATGCTGCTTCATATTCACCGAAGTATAGCGAGAGGAGAGCTGGGTGAGACACTTTAGCCCTTCTGGAACAAGATGAAATATAAATATACTAATTGGCTGGCCAGGCTGCCTCCGGAGGAACATTAGCATTGATGCACTGCGTCGGGATGGAAGGACGCAGGAGGTTCTGGACTGTGTGGGTCGTTGACCCTCTCAGGGACGTTAGTCCCATGACTCCCCCCGGTGGGTGTAAGGCCTGCCTTCTATGATATAGGTGAGGCTGGCCACGTTTCCCAACTGATGTCTCTACTACACCGGCTCAGTCAACACAGACCAAGTGGCTGAGTCACAAGCTGAGCCGCAGGCCAACCCAGAGGTGCCCCAACCCCAGCTGGGACTTTTCAGCACTTGCCATGCATGAGGTACAGTGCCAACTTGTTGATACACACCTAGGATTGTGGTTGTTTCTTTTTTTATATTTAGCATGCTTTTCTTCCAGTTACACAGGTGACATACTCACCGTAGAAGATTTGGAAAATACAGGAAGGCACCCCCATATTAGAAAAACACCCACTTACCACGCCCAGAGAGAACTGTGTTAATATTTTGGTATACAGACATTCAAACTTAAAATAAACATGTCCTCTCTGTATACACACACACACACGTGTGCATACACATATTTGAATTAGGATGATTGAATAAAATTTGTTCATGAGGCAGGGCTGTGAGGTACTTGAGAATTTTCTTTAAAATTTAAATGGGGAAAAATGTCAAAAATCAGGTGTAATGTCAAGCTTGGTGGTGCATACCTGTAATCCCAGCAGCTCAGGAGGCTGAGGCAGGAGAATCACAGGTTCAAAGCCAGCCTCAGCAAAAGTGAGGCACTAAGCAACTCAGTGAGACCCTGTCTCTAAATAAAATACAAAATAGGGCTGGGGATGTGGCTCAGTGGTTGAGTGCACCTGAGTTCAATCTCCAGTACCTTCCACCCTCCCGAAAAAATCAGGCATAGGATACTAAGACCATATTTCAGGTAAGTAGCAGTGACAACCAGGGTGATAGTGGGAGAGGGGCTGCCTGGAACCTAAAGCAAACTGGATTCTTCCTTAATATTTTTATATAAGTAAAAGAAGTTTACAATAAATATCAAAACGGATCTAAAGAGGTCAGTGTAGTGGCACACACCTATAATCCCCAGCTACTCAGGAGGCTAAGGAAGGAAGATCACAAAATCATGTCTAGCTTCGACAACCTAGTGAGACCTTGACTCAATATAAAACGGGCTGGGGATGTGTGCTCATGGGGTAAAGCTGAGTGTAATGAAAGGAGACCACCAGTACTGCAAAAAAAAAAAAAAAAGATTTAAAGGAGAAAAGGCCATAAAACTGTAATGTATAACCTAAGACAGAGATAGGATAAGGTATTCACAAGCTGATTATTTGTCTTATAGCTACTGTTAATGTAGTGCCAATGTGCCCTTCACCCTGGTGGATGTGTTGTGTGTGTGGTCTCATTGACCCCTCTTGAGCCCATGTGAAGTGGTCACTGTCCTACATTCCATTTTAGACAGGGCTCCAAGTGGGCAAGTAACTTACAAAGTGACAGAGGCATGAGATTCAGTTGTGGGTCTGAGACTGGGTGATTGATTGATCCTATTAGTAGTTGAAAAAACTACTTCCTATGTAGCAGCCAAGGTCTACGCTCCAAACCCCTTGAACTTGTCCCAGTTGCTCTGTGTTTCAGCAAACTGCCTAAGAGTCAACCTATTACTGTGATGATTCCTCCTCCTGACCTCTAGTAGGCAGTGTGATGAAACAAACTCTGTTCACATCTAGCACTAGCAGCCAGGCTTCAAGAAAGGGTTTCCTGCCCCTGCTCAGGCTTGGCGATTTCGTACAAGTCAAAGGAAGCCCCAGACTAAACTCGCACTATGGTTACCTTTTTGGAGACATCTTCATAAAAGGGAAGAAAGTGGTTTGAACTGGGTCATGAGTCACAGTCACACCCTGGTTATCAGATATTAGGGAACTGGAGGGATAGTTGAAATCTGGAAATAATTGCAAACTCTGCAATGATTCATTTCAGCTCTCTGTCCAGTTAAATCTTTTAGTGGAGGAAAATGAGGGGCAAAATCAGGTTGCCTGTGTTTCTATTCTTTTCTCACAAAGACCAGAAGGACACACTGGGTCAAACCTGTCCAGTGCCTTTACTCAGAGGGAAGAAGCAGGTGTGCAGGGTTTTAGTTACCGAAGAAACTAAAGCCTACACTTCTTGATGTGGCTCATTCTTCTTTATGGACCTCTCAGTATCTAAGATGGCACTGAGACACAAGAGAAGCCAATTTGATAGATGTTCAATTAGGTTATTAAAATGTTCATTCTTTTAGGTGATCTATCTAGAATAAAAGGGGCCTTTTTTCAAACCTGTATACATGACATTTAAACTGCTAACGTCTGGGCTCACAATTTTTGTAAAAGTATTAAGAGACATGCCTATAGCACTTAGTAGGTGCTCAAGAAAACATTTTGGGACTGAATGAATAAAGCAGGAGTAGGTATTCTGAAATGACTGTCTGATGAGCTACCAAAACATCAATCAATGTTTCCTCTCTGTCTGTAGGATAATACACTTGAGTATTTTGAGACTACCACAAAAAACTCTTTTATGTTCATACCTAAAATAAGGCAAGGTAGAGGGTGGGAATCCTACTGGAAAAAATAACAAACAGAGACTAATTGATGCTTTTGAGTTTGCATCACTTGGTGTAACAAGATTTCTGGAAACCTCAAACCTGGGCCGTGTCTGGAGGCACGTCAGTTTCATACTTACTGAGCCATATAAAAGCCCGTCGGTGTCCATGGCCAAGTACTGGCCGGTCTCGGTACTCTTTATATACACCTCCCCCACGCTTTCCGCACTGAGCTGCAGCTGAACTGGAATAAAAATAACACAAGAAAAAGTAGAGTCAACGTGACACTTGTGCAGATAGGGCCCAGCGGCCAGGATAATCGGTTCTGGAAAATTCTGCTCATTCGTTTTGTAGAACCCCAAGGATGAGCCTCCCATTAATCAGAACGTAGAAATACAGTTCCTTTTTCTTTGCCATCCAGAGAAAGCTGTGCATGGGGAACTATGTTCTTGAGAGGAGGAGAGACGATGGCTAGCTCCTCTGGTTGTCCACCCTGTTTGTTACAATAACCCCGTGGGGCCCTTCAGGGTGTCCTGCTCCCCTCCTGCTGTCTCCTGGAAGAAAATAATCAGGAGGGAATGGCATTTGCTTCCCTGGCTCTGCCATCCCATCAATCTTGGGGTGCAGTGGAGCTGACCAGCGTGTGACTCTTTGCGGACAGATTTTTGATGCTGTTGTTTGAAAGACAAGGTCCTGCTAACTTGCCCAGACCGGCCTTGAACCTGGGATCCTCCTGCCTCAGTCTCCCGTGCAGCTGGGATTACAGGGGTGCACCATCACACTTGGCTTTGTTCTATTATTTCTATTATTCTATTATTTCTTAGTTGTAGTTAGACACAATACCTTTTACTTTTTTTACTGTGGTGCTGAGGATCGTGCTAGGCGAGCGCTCTATCACTGAGCCACAACCCCAGTCCCTTGTTCTCTTATTTAAAAAAAAAAAAAAATCTGGAATTGTTATTTTTCCAGACAGAAAAGTTTCCCAAGGAGTTAGGATGGCTTTCAGCTATGAAACGCAGGGGACCAACCACAGTGAAGTTCAGTCGACCTCTCCACCCCTGGGGCAACCCATCTGGGGTCCAGACCAAGGGGAAGTCACTAGTTTCCCATCTAGAGGGCAACAGTTGCTCGGAAATACAGTGGTGAGAACAGGGGTTCTCAGCTGGGACTATTTTGTCCCACGGAGGACACTGGGCATTGTCTGGGGATGGGTTGGATTGTTACAACCAGAGGGGTTGGAGGGTGCTCCTGGTTTCTAGTAGGCAGGGACCAAGGGACCCTGCAAGACATCTTATAACGCACATGGCAGCCGTCCAGCAAAGAACTGTTCAGCTGGAAGCGTCCGTGGTGCCCAGGTAGAGAAACTTGGAGGCTGAGGGTAGCGATCGCGAGTTAAACTGAGGCCCGCTCGACCGGTTTTGCACAGGGACACTCCCAAGGTGCCCGCCCAGTGCTGGGTCCATAATCACAGTCCAGGACCCAAGTGATGAAGACGTTCTTGCTTGTTCATCTCAGAGTGCCTCCGAAGGCAGGGGCTTTGAGGGTTCTAATTTGGGAATTGGGGTTAATTCTGGACTCTCCTGGACAATTTCTTTGGTCACCAGACGATCACAAAGCATCCATACAACTAGGAGCAAAATCCAGACCAGGAACCGACTCCTCTAGGACTTATCAGAGGCTGAGGGGCAGCAGGGTTGGAGCATAGGGCTTTGGCTCGTAGGTCTAGACCGTTTCTTTGTTTTTATTTTTTTCATTTAATTTCTTTGAATAGGGAAGAATCCATTCCCATGTTTCAAACTTGGAAACAGTCTCAGAAAAGACAGCGGAGAGTCCCCGGGTACCCCTCCCTCCGTCCTACCATCTAGCCAATGAAGAAGATCCTGCCCTTCCTCCCTGTGCAGTTCATCATCCTGGGGAGACAGAAACAGCAGGAATCCCTCCTTGTAGACAGATGATATGTGTGGATTTTGCCAAATATGCATCTTGTTTTATTGCACACAATTGATGACATTCGATTCACACAGTGCTACCCCTAGGGTTGGTTGGTTGGTTGATTTCTTAACAACTATGGCAGTACTGAAAGGTTCAGCTCATTGTTTTTGCCAGTTGAATTATGTTCCACGATGTGGCTATACCATAGTTATTTAACCCCCTCCCTATTGATACGGCTGTATGTTTTTTTTTTATATGTTTTTTATACACCATTTTCCTCATCTGATTCACCCCAAGGGCGATACACAGCTACATCACTCCCACCGAAGACCGGAAGCGTATGGAGGATGCTTCTCTCATCCTTGGAAGCCTTTGCTCTAGATTCGGGACTCCTTCCAGCTGCCTGTGGTCAGTGAAGTTCATTGAATTCACTGGAAGGGAACTGGGAACCTCTGGTCTTTCCCATAAGTCCTCCTGTCTTCATTTAACTCTAAGAGTGTGGTCATGAAAGAAGAGGCCAAAGAGCTTCCATTGGGATCCAGGCCCAGCCCTCTCCAGCCTCATGTCACACCACCTGCTTGTTCAGTCACTCCAAGCTCTTTCTTGCCCCAGGATCTTTGCACATACTAAGCTCTCTGTCTGGTAACTTCTTCCTCTAGATAGTCACAAGATTGCTTCTCTCCTCCTCCGGGCCTCAACCTAAATATCCCCTCCTTGGAGACACCTTCTCCAAGTGTCTGATGAAGTGCTGTGTGGCACTCTGTATGGTGGGTCCTTTCACCCCACCCCTGCTGTGCCGGTACTTCCCTAGTCCCCACATGGCTCTTTCTCAGACCCTTGCTTGCTTCTTTTGTGGCCCTTAACATACAATTATTTGATTATTTATGGGTTCATTCATTTGTTTCTGCCTTTCCAAGAGAAGGTACATCTGAGATGGAAGGGCAGGAGTCCTGGCTGATCTGTGCCTCCTTGCATCCCCAGCCTCTCGCAGTGTCTTGTACATGGGGGACAGACAGCATCCACTTGCTGAATGAATGGTGTCAGGCAAATGTTGGCAGAGATGCTGCTGCTGGTCCCCCATCAGTGACCTGTGAGTTTTTAACTGTGTTTCCAACAGTGCAAAGTGAGATGGGATCAAGGTGAGAGTCAAAAGGCTGGAGGCTGGCCTCTACCCCCAACAGCTGGCTATGCTCCATCCCCTCTCTGGGCCTCAGCCTCCTTGTCTGTACAATGGAAAGATTTTTCTTTCCCCCGTACTGGGGATTGAACCGTAGGGGCTCTCTAGAACTGGAAAACATCCCCAGCCCTTTTTATTTTTTCATTTTGAGACAGGTCCTCACTAAATTGATGAGTCTGCTCTCAATTTGCAATCCTCCTGCCTCAGCCTCCCGAGTCTCTGGAATCACAGGTGCACACCACAGCAACCAGCAGAACCACGTACTTTATGATTCCATTTACACGGAAGGCCCCAAAGAAACAAATCTATAAATATAGCAGCAGGTTAGTGGTAGCCAGGGCCTCCGCAGGGGTGGGAGTGGAGATGCAGGAATTATAGTTAAGGGACATGGGGTTTCTCTTTGAAAATATTCTCAAATTGATCGTGGCGATGGCTGTCCAACTCTATTAAGAAAAAATGTAAGAAAAAAAACAACCACTGGATGATATATTTTAAATGGGTGAGTTATAATGGTATGTGAATTATATCTCAATAAAGTCATTTTTTAAAAAAAAAAAGTCCTCTATTTTTCATTGGACTTTATGGCCTTCAGAGAACCTTCACATATATTTTTCTCTGGATTTCTCAGCATAATCCTGCAGGTTTAACTGAGCCTGAAGGAAGGTGATAACCATTATGGATCACCTACGTCGGTCAGGCCCCACACTAGTTTCTGTCACAGTACAGTGGACAGTTAGAGAGCGTGTGCTCTGGAGTCCAGCACGTGGGCTCCAGTTCTGATTGGGCTGTGTGTTAGTTGTGTGGTCACTGGGTGGGTTGTTGGTCCCTGTGTCCTATTTCCATTGCTGTCATGAGGATTGAATGAGCTCATGCATGGAGAGAGGCCACTCCCATTGTGATCTTCTCCTCTGTGCTTATGTGACCTCATCTGCTCCTCACCCAGTTCCCCTGAAGGAGGTGGTCCCTACTCCAGGTGACAGATGACGTGCTGGAGCTTTGGCTAGAGCATCTGCTTGCACTCCAAGTTATAAGAAGAGGCAACACCATGGCCAGAACGAGGCTCGAGTCCCCCAAGGACCCTGCGATTTCCTCTCTTTCACACAACCTCTTGGGCTCCAATTATGGGATGAACTGATCCAAATCCAGCCATACTCTCCAGGTTGGGCCCCTTTATAATCAAGATGGTGGGTGGTCCTCCAGGTCCCCATTGGTAACCATGGAATGGAGTGAGGCTAGTGCTTGGGACTTTTTTCTACCCACCACCCATCTATGCAAGTATTTAGACCAACACGCTAGGAGAGCTACAGAAATCTCAAGGGGCAGGTCCTTTTGGATCTCAAGGAGGATTTTTAAAAGGATTTCCATTTCTGTGTTCTGTTCTGTTTGTCTTGCCTTGGGGTCGAGCAGAGTTGACTTTCCTTCTGTGGAGTTCCGTCATGGCCTCACAGAGGTCAACAAGAGCCGAGACCTGCCTAGCACGTGACCGGCCCTCAGCCATGCGCCCCAACACCGGGGTCGTTGTGAGAGTTCGATTCAAGAGTTTCCTCTGTAAATATTGTTTCTCCAGGATGTCCAAGTTTCATAGCTCATTTTCACTGGATTGCTTTCTGGCTGAGTTTCCTCAACATATATCCTTCTGCAAGCAGAGCCGGCAGGAAGGAGCAACACCCAGCCGAGCTGCTCATGCAGCTGACTAGGTGTCCAGCTCTCTAGTGTGACCTCATCCCAGTTTTTCCAGACCTACATCCTCTTGCAGCTGCTGCTATAAAAGAGCAAGGAAGGCGAGAGCCTGAGAAAGGGGCCTCAGGGCGAGGGAGAGGCTGGCCACCAGCAGGATGGGGTGGGGGCTGCTCAGGCCTGGCACGCTCCTGGGAACTGTGCTCAGTGCTAGGCACAGACCCTGCACCCAGGGCTTACGCATGTCAACAACAGACACATGAACCTACACGCGATAAGGCAACACAACAAACCCCGCTGTTTTTTGAGCAAAAGCAAACAAAAATTCACAAATTACAGTAAGAGTTCTCTCCCTCCTTCTCTCTCTCTCTCCCTCTCTCTCTCTCTCCTCTCTCGCTTCCCATCCCCCCTTTTTTTCTCTTTCAAAGAAAAGCAGAAAAAAACATATGGCAAAAACC